CCTCAGGTGTCTCAGCAAAAGTATGCAGTCCACTGTATACATTCCACTTCGAAGCAACACTTCCGTGTCTGCAACTCTGGCGCACCAACCGATGCGCAAAATCCGTCGCAAATACTGTTGATGAAACCACTCGAGATATCGCACATTCCGACGGTACATCGTCCACGTTTCACTGCCGTATAGAAGAATGGACAGCACCATGGATTTGCACACCATCAGCTTCGTGCCTAAGGTAAGCTGATGGTTGTTCCACACTCGGTACTCTAGATTCCCGAATGCCGCCGTTGCCTTCGACACGCGGATACGCAGCTCAACCTGTAGCTGCTGATCAGTCGACATCACACTCCCAAGGTAGCAGAAGCGGGAGATGGTTTCCAATACTTCAGCACTAATGCTGATTCGCGGCAATATTGAAGATTGCAACTCCGGTGAAGGCTGAAAGAGACAGACAATTTTGCTTGTGCTGATGGTGGTCCGAATTTGGTCGCTGTCGTAACCAGAGCACTAGTCATGTGTTGCAACTCATCCGCGCTGTGTGAAAACAACGCACAGTCGTCAGCAAACAGCAACATACGGATAGTTGTCTCACAGACTAGAGTTCTCGCACCGAAACGACGTATATTCAGCAACCCACCATCAATACGGTGCGTCACACGAACATCATAAGCACAAGCGGCATCAAAAGCACAGGACAATATTGCATGAAGATATATATTAAACAGGGCGGGAGTTAAGACACAGCCTTGTTTGACACCAAAGACAACTGCAAACTCATCCGAGGTCTCTTCACTCAGCTGCACCCTGGAACGCGTACCACTCTGTAGAAGTTCAATTGGACTTGCAAACTTACGCGAGCAACCAAACTTACCCAACACCAACCACAATGCCTCGCGGTTCACCGTATCAAATGCCTTGGTGAAATCAAGAAAACGAGAGTAAAATGGCTGGTGTCGTTCTCTGCACATCTCCTGCAACTGACGAGCCGCAAACACCATATCTATAGTGCTGCGACCCGAACGGAATCCACATTGCTCTTCCGCCACGTTCGGTTCCACAACCTGACTGACGAGGCAGTTGAGCAGGATTCTGGCAAATACCTTGCCCACACAACTCAGCAAGTTGATGTCACCATCATTCGTACAACATTGCTTGCTCCCTTTGCCATTGTACAGTGGTAGCACAACGGCATCGCTCAACTCAGCAGGCACCTCCTCCTCAATCCATACACTTGCACCAAGTGGTACAGCACAGACAACAACGCAGGTCCGCCGTGTTTCAATACTTCAGGCGGGATCCCGTCGGCCCCAGCATACTTGCCGTTTCGTATCTGAGCAAGTGCTCCTTGTGACTCATCCAGTGTCGACGTGTCCGCCAGATCCGCCTTCACATCGTGCTGCTTCAGGCAGTTCAATATAGGCAAGTCGCTCTCTGAACGGATCTTCAAGAGACAGTCAAAGTGTTTCCGCCAGATCTGCATTATGTCTGCAGTCTGGGTGCAGGTAGCGCCTGAACTACCACCAATCAGCGTCCTCAGCGGCTCTAATCTTGGTCCATACATCGCCTTCAAGGAGTCAAAGAATTCCTTGTGTTGGCGACGTCCGGCGTAGCATTCAGTCTGCTTCGCCTTCTCCGTCCACCATGCATTTTTTATGCGACGGAGCTCTCGGGTCTGCCACCGTCGAAGTGTGCGAAACTGATTACTCTTCCCCAAGTCACTGGGGTCTGATACATGTGCCGCAAACGCTGCATTCTTCTCCGACACCAATGCGCCAATCGTCGCAGTGTTGTCATCAAACCAATCAGGCCGTTTACAGTTTGCGCGCCCGATGGTCTCCTCGGCAGCAGCTGTCACCTGGCCGCGAAATGGTGCCACTGTGGCTATGCAGTCCACATTACACAGGCGTGCAGCCATCGCCTTCTCCAGCTCAGTACGTTTCGCCACAGTACCGAGGGAGAGAATGTTAAATTTACGCCGATTCACGGCGGGAGTGCAATACATCGATTTACGAAAATATATGTACAGTTTGGTCTGCACCAATATGTGATCAGTGTCACACTCAGCTCCACGCAGTACACGTGTCATGCGCACCTCATGTATATCACGCTGACGTACGATGACATAGTCGAGCAGGTGAGCGTGACCACTCCGTGGGTGCGTCCAAGTTGCTATATCACTCGCACTCAGTGCAAACCGAGTGTTCGTGATCCTCAGGCCGTGAGTGGCACACAGTGAGAGCAGCCTGTCACCGTTCGCATTCGCTGTATCAATGCCATGCGAACCGATAACATCTGTCCACACCGATACAACACGCCCAACGCGCGCGTTGAAATCACCCAGCAGAAATAGTCGGTCGCTCCTCGGCACAGACCGTTTCATAGACGATAGCTCAGTGTAGAATTGATCACGCGTGTCATCAGGATAACACATGGTCGGACCGTACGTGCTCATAAAAGTGGTAAACTTACCTCTTCCGAGTCGTGGGCGAACAGTCATCAGTCTCGCGCTGATGCCTGTTGGTTCACCCACCAGCTGGCCATGGAAGCGATGGGCTATTGCAAATCCAACCCCACGATCACGTGGTGCTGAGGCGGCGTTGCCCATCCAGTAGAATGTGTAGCCAGCACTTGCTTCATGCAACTTACCTTGCTCAGCGAGCCGAGTTTCATTGAGCGCCGCAATATCGATGTGGTAACACCCCAGCTTCATCGCGACCAGTGCAGTGCGTCGCCCGAGTCGCTCGCTGGAGTTCCGGTTCAGTAGTGTGCGCAGGTTCCAGCACCCGATGCTGAGTGCTTTGCGCGCAGGCATACGATTGCATTGGTGAGCAATCGCACGCGTGGTGGTTATTGTTCTTCGGAGGTTTGCTTGAGGTGCTCCACCCGGATCCTCTGGCTCAATAGCCTTTTACCCACAAGACAGTGGGTGATTTGGAGGTTTGATCGAGGGATTCCGCCTGGAGTATTTGGCTCAATAGCCTAACCCACAAGGCAGTGGGGAGCAGATCCAGCTCGGGAATGTGATTGTAGAGACAAATGGGGAACTGATTGATGGCCGTCATACGGTACTGGAATGATTCATATATGTTTTGCGACCCTAATAGGATACACCTGTGATCACGGCCAGACGCAGATGAGTTTTGGCGGGTTTGCACCAAGTTGACCAGGGGCTGTCTGGCTTAAGGCGGGCAGTAGCAAACCATTGAACACCTAGAGGTGCCTTCCCACAGTCAGAGACAATGCGTGGCGCTCGTGCTCTACGCCAATCGAGATGTGAGCTTAAAACCCGTAGACCTGTTGTCTCCCATGGCTAGGTTTTACGAGAAGAAGGCCATCGACCACTTTTTATCTCCGAAGAGGATGGACTAGGACACAGCCAGGGCGCCCACTCAAGACAGGAGAACAACTCGGATTCTCAGCCAAAGCCTTCGATTAAATGAACACCCGAAAGGCAGCGGGTCTAGCACATGGTCAGTTCACTGACTCATGCGGATTGGTGTCCTGGATCTTAGCAGGGAGAAGGGCAAAACGCAACTCCCACCCAGCGGTCGCCACAAGGAGGTGTCCAGGACATGAGCCAATGGCACAACAGTAGCAGCAGTGGGTAGACCATCTGTCAGGATCTAGCCACCACGAGCCATAGGCCCTCCCGACCTATATACTCACATGTATACATTTATTGTTATGGCCAACATGATTCTGTGCACATTTCCCTATCACTCGTTGTTCTGTTCCCATAATCATGCCTGTATAGGCGTGCCTCGTGTTGTTGAGAATAGACTGTTTATTTATGTAATATTTCCAATAAAATTTTATTGAGTTGTCCCGTCATTAAGGAAGCCAGCTAGTCCAACCACCGGTCCAGAGAGACACCAAATGACCGTTTCGCCATATTGGTGATGGTCAGTAGTGCTCATCGTCCTAGTCCATAGGGACCCAAAACCATGATCTTTAGGGTTTTGTGCCATCAGCCAGTTGCTTGTTCCATAAAACCAGGGGTGTCCAAACTGTTTTGCAAGGTGAGCCACATGTTGAAAGGTAAAAATATGTCAAGCCGTATTTAAGCGAACATTAAGATAACGACAAAAATTACATATGTACAAATAAAGTCGAAGGCTGGATTTATTATTTCTTGATGAGGCCGCGGGCCAATTGAAATGTTAACGTGGGCAGGAGTTTAGACATCCCTGCAGTAAGCCATGGGGGAAAGTGGTGGGTTGTTCTAAAGTACAGGTCAACTGTCAAATAGTGCGATCCCTCCTAGAAATTAATTTTTAAACCAGTGACAAGCCGTTGTAGAAGATACGGCTAAAGGAATTTCAAAAGCAGGATTTCGGTGACTCAGCATTATGGGCTTTCCTTACTGGGTAAAAGTTTCGGCGAGGTATTTCTCCTCCAACATCCGAGCTGACATCACCGCTAAGGAATTATGCACTACTAATTAAGCTTGTCGCAGACAGGCGACGTCTAGAATGCCAAAATTTCCACTGTCATGCAGTAAACGCAGACCGTACATTTGCAAAGTCAATTACGATGCTCAAAAATTGTCAATCAAACTTAAAATGACCTGGTTACGCCGGCTTATGTGCCACTGTGATTAAGTAGCGCATACGTTTATCAGTTATTGTAATTTCCTTATAGTTGCAACCAAACCTCGCAGTCGTTTGCGCTAACCCATCGACTTAAAAAATTGGTGTCCCTTTTGCCTCAAAGGTGTTCCCATAGACTGTAAGTTCGTCGTGCAGAGTCCGTAACCCAAATATCGTTTGTTGCTAAGGCCCACTTTGCAGCCCTAGTTAACCAACGTTTTATACGATGATGTAAAGTAGTGATAAAGGAAAAAAGTAACTGGACTGTTATTTGCTAAATTTAAATCAAGATCGAATTCCATCTGCCTCTAACATGCATCCGGTTTTTGAGCTTAGAAGTGGCCACCGATTCCTTTCGATTCAAAAACTTTGGTACTGTGAATGGAAGAGAAGATGCCCACCCCTCAGACTTACCTCATATTTGAAAAATTTGGAGGAATCTTCCAGATCCATTTGCGCCTTGTTTGGAGGACTATCCACAGTGGCCAATGCCAGGCAACGTAAGGTGTCCCTGCCTGTGCCATATGCTGCTACGTTCTTAACAATTTCAGCTTTCAATACCGGCGTCATTGGCACTCGTTTTCCAGCCATGCGTACAAAAGCGCAACGGTCCAGTACGCCCTCTGGTGCACCCTTGACGAACATACGAGGACCTGGCTCTCCTCCAGCACTCGGTAACTTGGAAGCGGCATTTGGCTTCGGAGTCACATACACGGACATTGATTTCCGGTCCCTGGAGAACTCCAGTGTAAATTCTTTTGTCCATAGGTCCTGGTTATCAGCGTAAATCACGAAGTTGATATTAAGCATTAACAGGTTATCTGTTTACCAGCACTAATACCAAATTCGAACTCATATTTTATGACCAAATAGGCAATTGATAATTAGAACTCACTTGAATTTGATGGTTGCAAACCATGCTTAGGTCTTTCTTGGACAGTCCGACCTTGGATGTTTTGTATATATTCATTTTCTCGACCAGGCAGCACAACGCAGTCTCGGTGGCCTCACCCACCTTCTCGTACACATGTTTGCTCTCATTGTAATCGATGGCAGAATCATTGCACATGGAACAGATGTGGGCTATCTCGTTTAGTCCATCGAAGTCACTAGGTTCGATCTTTTGTCCATTAACAAATCTGCAATAAGTTAAGACGTTCTGTATGAACACTAAATGGATAAAAACCACGAAGTACTGGCACACAAACCTATAACACTGAAATTTCACAGGTAGTACAAATGGCAGTTAGAGTAAACGGTTGAGCAGATTAAGGTCTGTTGCCTTACACATTGTAGGATGTTCTCTTGGAGAGTAATCATCTCCAGCTTGCGGAGCATTCTTGTTTCCTCCTTCAACAGCATTCTAGAACAATGGTGATACAACAATCTGACACAAAATACTGCTTGATACATGGCTTTTCTATAGCCAACCGTAATTCTAAAGCGTCTAACGGGTCACAAAATGTACAGGTAACACGTACTCTAAGCTGACAGTCACTGAATGACATTATGACGCCCAAGCTGTTGTGTGAGCAGATTTTTCTAGACACCAGTCCAATATACTCAAACATAATGTGATGGATGATCGCAATCAGCGGGACTACCTCAGTGTTGTGATGGTATTTGGGCTGAAGCCACCACACGGATACTTGTTATATGTAATTCATATTTAATGCACTAAGTTGAATCTAGACATACTATAGTAAGCATGTATTATGGTGACACTGCATGAACCGTTTTGTTCTCGACAAGTCCATTTCACACTGATGCTGAAACACGAGAAAGAGAGGACCAAGCACGACGTATTACAACTACGAAGATAATGGAATTTGGAGCTTTTTTGACCGCCAAGCGTCAGCCCGTATCTAAACACTGATGCATGACCCACAGTGAGCTCCTCGGTGGTGTTTTTGTTTTGCTGATGAGACTCCTCCGATTACTGGTCTTCAGAAACGGTGATCAAACTTTATAGCAGTCTGTCCAACGACGTTCCGTTAAAGGGGACAGTGACACATCCACAATTAACTGGTATTTTGCTGGTGTGGTCAGTCTAGCCTCCTGTTGTACAGTCTTCACTGCCAACCGAATTACTAGCATTTTTGACGTCTCACCGGATTTTGATAAATATGGATGATCAATGTAATCTGAATTGCTTTGCACAGCCAGGTAACGTAACTTAAAGATTAGAGCAAATTGCTTATCAAGACGCATATAATCGGCCTAGCTTTCAATTGTCTGGTCATGACCTAGCAAACTTCTTAAATCCATACTGTTACACTGCTTGCAAACCAAAGCACAGAGCTTCTTCAGTAAGCTTTGCTGTCTTAGATACAGTCCTCATAACCTCTGGATCCCATAGTGATATAGCGAAACAGGGTCGGAGCAGTGAGGGATTTGGAGCTGAGTTTACTTGATCCGATATGTCTCCAAAGCGGAAAGACATCGAAGGGTAAGTAAGATTAGTCATGTACTACAGCAGTACAAACGGCAAGAGTGAACTCCAAGAATGCATCAGTTTGCTGCACATAGTAGCTAAGGAACAGCTAAGGAACAGTCTAAAAATAGCCAACATCCACTAGCATGCATGCAATGGATAATTTCAAGGTATTTTGTGCAGCAGTGTCACTTCCTCCACAGGTACACAGCGGTCAACTGGCCGTCATATCCCCACAGGAAAGCTCACATGATCTTTAGAGCTAGTCTCATGCACAACTCTGTTTCGTTGTAGTTAATATGCTTCGTTGGTGGAGTATATAAAATACGCATTTTAGTCCTGGGAAGAGGCTGAGTGGTTGCGCACTGGTACACACAATGAAGTTATACTTGTACCCGTTTAAGAAACAGCTTGAACACTTCTGCTGAGTACATCCCCCAGTAACGTTCTACTCCAAAGCTAAATTTGAAAGTGCCTGGAGTAATTGGAACTGATGTGGAGAATGCACGAAACCATGCAAAGTCCGAAAGCCTGTAATGCATAAGTAGACTGGTGTTACCGATAAATCGGCGGTGGATTCAAGCAACGCGTAAGACTCCCGAATCAGGTCGGAATCCAAGGTCAGAAGTGCGCTACGATGCTATTTTTACAAAGGGTTAGGACAACAAATTGTATGCTGATCTCGACAATGTCCACCACAAAATGTACAATAGTTCTGTACTCAAGTTAAAACCGGACGTCCAAACAAGATCAAATGCCGGCAACAAGTAATTAAAGTTCACGCTGTTATACAGCCGAGTAAGAAATTCAGTCAGACTCGATGTAAGCCAAAACGATCAATCGTCCAATCAGTTAAGCCGTAAGAAGGTCAGCGGATGAGAGTCAGGGGCAGCGAAATAAGTGAATAAGGGGGGGGGGACTTGTGGCATGCTTCCGTGGAATCCGACAGGCTGTGCTTTATCCGTTACAGCTGGTGTGAACATTTCGGGGGCTAACCTAGGAGGATAGGATGATACATCGGTATGAGCAGAAGAGGCGAAGCTATTCCTAATCCAAACCTCTTTACGAATTTACCAACAGCTCTGGAATAGTGAAGAGGTGATCTCATCACGGAGTGCCCTTGACTGACGAAGGAAGACGCTAAAAGGAGCAACTAACGCTTTGTCGCCGTAGTTGTCCTTTATCTTTTAAAGTCAGCGGGACTGAATACTCTACCCGTTCTTATGGTTCTACCAACCGAAATAAGCCACCCATAATGTAGTACGGGTGATTGGCTGAAGTGGCTTTGGTTACTGTGCGTCCGAATTTCATCTGAAAGAATAATCAGCAGAAGACACTATAAGTAAGCACCGTGGATATATCGTAACAACTGGTTGGATTCAAGCAGACCCCTATAAAAAAGAGCAATGTTCTAACCATCTGGAAATGAGGAATCTTCACAAAGGGTGGTCGTATGGAACGTGCGAACAAACGCTGAGTAACACTGATTACCGCACCTTCTCAAGTCACGGAAGTGATCATCGCGGATACATATTTGTGTCACTTGAAAACCACTAAATCGTCGCACCGAAGTACAAGGAATCTGTTAACCTCTCTCATGTACCACTGGTCTATTTGCTGTACGCTGAAGCTGGATATAGCTTGTTAATAATTTGGTGAGAACTGACGTTATCTATCTAGAACTTTATGCATGTCCGGTCATTTAAAGCATCTGTAATTTTCAGAAATGTGTAATCTCTAACTCAATTTGATGAGGGATAGGTAGGGGGCTTCCTATCTGAATTAATTGAAGTCGTATGCGGCATACCACCAACTTCTGCAGTCATACCTAACGTAATCGTGGTCTACACAAACGACCTAGGATTTTCTATGCTTCACCGACGACTTTAAAATGCAGTCAGTGTCTAGAGCGTTGGACGATAACGAGGTCACCGATGTGAGTTTGCTGGGTTTCTAAGTTCATCGTTCAGGAAGTATCAACATTTCATTGTGGGCAGGAGAGAGGTTTTCAGATGTTACATTGACACACGCACATTGTTAGGTTTTAAAATCCTGTCAACTGATTGAATTGTTATGCGCCGAAGAACTGATATTGTGGGATAATGAAGAATTCCGAGCAGGTTTCTTACCTTCCGTAATGGTAAAGGTTAGTTGCACCTGGAGTATTTGGTAGGAGTGTAGTAGAGGATTTTTGTGCTTTGAGACTATTCTCCACAGCTAGACACAGAGGCAACCACCACAAAACCAAGAGAGCGCTAAACAGCGGTTTCGTCCTACTGGAACTTGTCAGTAGCGGATTCGAATCTATGGCTTTACACTTACGATTCAGCGACTTATGCCACTGAACCTTGGGTAATTGCTGTAGACTGCCGTGACTGATTTCTAACTGATATAGTGCAGTTCATCGTCAACTCTCACGTTTGCTTATGAAAGTGCAGGGGACAGGGTTGACCCCAAAAGCTACGATTTCCTTTGCGAGCTTCCACCAATAGAGGTGGTATGTTTGCCGCTAAGGTGACCACTGATGAATAGTGAGTAGTAGGGGTTGATTGCGTGTTCGTATTCGGTAACTATTGTGTGATCCTAATCGCCTACACGCAATAATAACACCAAGATAAGAGGTGCTTGAAAAAAACCGCTTCATCAACGTACAACCAGAGGAGCTCTTTACATAGACTAAGGTACTCAAGAGTAAATGGTTTTACTTACCGTAGTTTACGTTTTGAACGGCCTCAATGTACAGAAGGCCCGGCAAACAAATGAGTAGAGTCATGTTCTCGCACGAATAACCAACTCTGAAGACTGCACGCCCTATCATATTTGCTTGGATTCAATGCCAAAAGCAAATTTGCTTTTGGATACTTTGGGCAAACGTCACATATTATCGTCTCATCGTCTCCCCCAATACCCCGTTTATTTTATGAACATTTGTATCTTTATCTATAACCGTCAGCATGAGGAAAACACGAAGTGGTTAAAGATTTGACATAAATCACATGTAAACATGAGTGTGAATATAAATACAATAACTAAAACTCTGCTTCCTGTTAACCATAGATTGTTACACCGGCGGTCTTCTCAGGGCGCTGATACTTTCGTTGCAATGTGTATGAATGGAACCAAAAATATGACGAGGATCTTTATCATCTGTAGAAGTTATGTGCTTATCCTAGATAAAAGTACCATTACTGCATCTGGTTAAATTTTTATTCTGGGTTGCAGTTGTAAATTCGCCGATTTGCATACTTACGCAGTTGTCTCTCTAAAAGTAGGAAAACTTCTAGTAAAACAAATATTGTGGTTCGATTATGCGTTGGTTTGTCTTACTCGAACCGAAAGTTCACAGCTCACTACTTTAGTGAACGGGATAATAAAAACCTAGTACATATTTCCACATCCTGACATAATTGCTAGGTATTTCACCTTACCAGCTAAATGGAATATTACAAATGAACAGCAGGGAATGAAACTGGTGATCGAAAAATTGCTGCCAAGGAACATACCAAGTAGTTTCCGAACCCTATGATACAATTGGATTTGGACCGGGTTTGCAGTTACACCGAGCCAACCAGCGTCTTTTCGACTAGTCCGGAATTCATGTCACACTGTTAAAGCGTTTAGGAGAAATAGCTACGAGCTACCATAGCTTATGACGTCCATACAATATTATGGCCAAAACAGCATGAACAGTTGATGTCAACACTG